CCGTCTGCTTCGCGCGGGGCGGGCGCAGGTGAAGCTGGAGCTGTTTGTTCCTAATGAGAGACTTGTGGCAGTTGAAACCTGCCTTCCCTCAGAGACCTGAGGAGTTAAAACAGAGAAAACCTCCCAAAACCCAAATGAAACGTGCTTTACCACCAAGAAAATAACGCAGGCCTTGACGTGACCTGAGGAAGCACCAGACTGGATGGTCTTTCCTGCGGCCTGTGAGGACTCTCCCTCGTTTCTGCTACTCCGTGTGCTCTGGTGTGTGAGGACAGTGACTTCTGCTGAGATAGTACTGAAAGCCCTGACATCAGTGTCCCAATAGAAGTCTTGCAGAAACCCAGTGTCTGCCTGAGAGCCTGCTGCCACAGAAGTGTGATTACATGACATTTTTAGGTGAGAAAAAGGACTGTAAAAGCCAAACTGTGGGAGGACTCCCAGGCTGAACAAGTGAGTGACATGAACAGTGATGGTAGTTAATTTTTGCATAGAGGAAATCTTCATGGATTGTTTTTAATGGACAGCTAATTCTGCAGCCATTTATGAGAGGAATACTCCAAATATTTTCTGCGATAGTCTAAATATTAAAGACTTCACACAGACAGTATGAAAATTTAAAAGCCAGAAATAGCTCCACTTTCAGAGAAAAGGGGATGCTGAGAATGTTGTTGCTCTCTCTTTCATCACATATGAGAAGGCAGTACTACTTACGGAGTAAAGCAGCGCTATAGTGCAGAAACTCATTAAAAGTAGGGAAAAAGCATTAATTTCCAGCTTGTGTCTACCCAATATGTGTGAATCTAAACTCTTGCTTATATAATGAAACCAGTATTTTTACTGAAAACCTGAAATAACAATAAAAGCTTGTCCTTCTCAAATGCTTTTTAGAAGATTTTAAAATAGAAGGAAATGGGATGCTCGTTTACATTAAAAAAATTAAAATAGCAAGTGGTCTAACCTACTTAGGAAGAGAGAAGTAGACATCTCAGTGATTTAAAAAATGACTTTCTCTTTTTTTGTACTCAGGCAGATGTGAAATGGATGCACATTGGATTGCCTACTTCTGTTGGTCAGATGCCCCAGAATATTCTGATTAACCTTCACTGAAAGGGTGCGGAAAGATCATGCTACAATAGTAAGTCCAACATTTCTAATACTGAATTTTTAAATTTCTGTGGAGCATAAATGTAAAAGTCAGCAAGTTAAAGGAAAGCAACAAACGTCGAAGGTAGCTGGGGTCCAGTGTTGTTCTGAACGGCTATGACAGAGCCAATGAACTGTGGAGGCATTTCCTGTAACACAGTGGAGCTGTGTGCCTTTTCCCACTGCTCTGACTGCATACAAAAATCAGGCAGTTGAGAACATCGGGAATTCTTTTAAAATACAGCTATAGTAACTTTTATGATGAGGATTGATGATCCAGATACGTGGACAGTCTGTTGAGGTGAAGTTTGAATTCATGCCTGCTATGAGTGCATTTGTGTTTCAGTACTAGTTCCTGGGGTACAGAGTAGGAACTGGTCTGTTCACGTGATTGTACTTGATTTATAACACTGTAGTGTCTCTGAATTCATGTTTTGGAGTATGTCTAATATGTATGTGCATTAATTGAATTACATCAATTCAGATAGGGAGAAAAGAATAGCAGGGAATAGGATGGGGGTAAAATGGCAATTTACAATTTCATATCTAACAGGTGAGTAGATTTTTTCTTCCTTCTGTATAATATCGTTAGAAAAATAGGGTACATAAAAGCAAATTACTACATTGTAAAAAATGTTACTAAGAAATTTAAACACTGGATTTAGCAACCTGGGATACCAGCAGATGCCTTTTTCCCCATTAGTCATTGACTGTATATGAAGTAAAATGAAGCTGGACGACCCCCCCTCCCCCCGAACTTAGAATGTCCACTTGAGAGGCATCAAAGCGCAATGGATCAAATATTTGTTTCATAGTTTTATGGATTCAGTATTCAGTTTCTGTCACTATGGATGGGTGAAGTAAATCACTTGCACACAGTAATGAGGGGCATAGTGAGGAAAAGCATCAGCTTAACAGAAGCTGCTTTTTCTTACTTGGTTGACTCCAATTATTATATTTAAACTTGCTTACATATTAAATATCAATGTAATTAATTACTAGTTAACATTAATTACTAATTAATAACATTAAATATTAATATATCTTAATATATCTTAAGTTTAAGTGGCTGAATGTTATTATGGAAACTTAATTGAATATATTTCTGGCTGCCATTATGTTGGACAATGGTTCACAGTTGAAATAAAACAAGAATGAGACTCTTCATGAGACAAATTTCTGAGAGGAATAGGCCCCCCTGCCTCCAGTATAAGAACCACCCCTGCCTAACACTCGTTTGGTCTTATGAAACGGGACGTGCTGAGTCCCCAGGCTAAGAACAGCTCGAGGGAGTATTCTAGTAGCAGTTCTAGCATGTGTTTTGCAATCCCATTTGAGCCAGAATCTTGCTGTATGCCTTGGCTTTCTCTTTTTATGAACCCTAACACTAGGCTGAGGTTTGCCTTACGGGACTTGCTGAGTCTCCAGCCTATGGGCTGCTTGCAAGAGAGTTCTAGTAGCAGCTCTCACTTTTATCATTTCTAAGCCCTGCTTTCCTCTATGTTTCAGACTTTCTGTTTGTGAAGCCCTTGTGTTTGTGAATCTTGACTCTAAGCCTGTACTGCACCTCTATGCCAGGAACTCGTAACTCAGAACTTATCCTCAGCTTAAGGAGTAGTAAGGTGAGAAATCCACCAGCAGCCCTCAGAAAACTTTGCCAGCCCCTATGGAGCCTACTCTTGCTGTATGCGTCAGCTGGCCCTTTCTTGGAGCTGGAACCTTAACCCTAACCTTCATCCTTCACCTGGGCTGAATTTTAGGCAACAGGGGATGCTGAGATCCCAGGCTAAGGATGGCTCAGGGGAGAATCCTAGCAGCAGCCCTAGCTTTACTTCAGCAGCCCCGTTTGAGCACCACTTTTACTGCCAGTAGCAGCTCTTTTTTAGCTGGTAGGGATCTAAAAAGGCAGGTATAGTGCACTTTCTCTTGCGCGTACTGCAGTGCCAAGTTTGGTGCTGGTATGCCACAAAGGGAAAATACCTCAAAAAGATTTTACTGAAGTGATAAAGCTCTGGAGGGAATGGACCCAACTGTCCCGAGGGGAAGATCTAGATCCCAGCACCATACTTTTTCCTTCATGATTCATAAGACTATCCTCTGTTTTCTTCCTTACACGTTTTATTCAGTTTTGCATTAATAGATGATTAATAAAAAGATATAAACTGATGTGCTTGCATTTTCAAAATGTCATGTTTATTATATTAAAAACAAAAATCAAATTAGGATAAAGACTTGGAACAAACTTAGAATAACATTCCTTAATTTATTAGCTTAGAGGTGAAAGGTGATGAAAGCTCATTTTTTCTGTTCTTAAGATAGTTGTACTCTGTCATCTGAGCAGTACTAAAGAAGTAATTTCCTTGCCGTCCCAATTCCAAAACTAGTTCTTTTATTAAAAA